GGAAATTCAAAATGGCAGAACATCTAGTCAGGTGGACTTTAATGGTTCTTGGGGCAAAGCTGTTAGAGTGAGTATAGCTGGATGTCTGTACCAAGTTTAATATAAATAATATAAAGCTTCATAACAGCAGAGGAAATCTCCGCTTGTCGCTAGGCTAATTTATACAATGTAAAATGCCATAGGCTTGTGCTAATAACATTAGCATGTTGTATTTGTTTGGAAGATGTGTTTAGTGTAAGACAATTGCTTCAACGCACAAGTATAAATCCCACTTTATGGCATAGGAATTATGAGTTTACAAAGTTGACCTTTAATTATAGCGCCCCCATCAGGCTGATTGGGGCATAGTTGTTTCTTTGTTCAGGAGCTTTTGGTCACAATTTCCAGTTATTAGTGAACATTTCATCCACTTCTTCCATTCCTTCCAGGGCTTTCACCCACATCTCATGGCCTTCATCGGCTGATGGAGTTTGCTCAGTTCTAATGAAAAGGAAAGGGTAAGTAGTATTTATACAGTACAGGCCAAAAGTTTGGACACACCTTCTCATTCAATGCGTTTTCTTTATTTTCATGACTATTTACATTGTAGATTCTCACTGAAGGCATCAAAACTATGAATGAACACATGTGGAGTTATGTACTTAACAAAAAAAGGTGAAATAACTGAAAACATGTTTTATATTCTAGTTTCTTCAAAATAGCCACCCTTTGCTCTGATTACTGCTTTGCACACTCTTGGCATTCTCTCCATGAGCTTCAAGAAGTAGTCACCTGAAATGGTTTTCCAACAGTCTTGAAGGAGTTCCCAGAGGTGTTTAGCACTTGTTGGCTCCTTTGCCTTCACTCTGCGGTCCAGCTCACCCCAAACCATCTCGATTGGGTTCAGGTCCGGTGACTGTGGAGGCCAGGTCATCTGCCGCAGCACTCCATCACTCTCCTTCTTGGTCAAATAGCCCTTACACAGCCTGGAGGTGTGTTTGGGGTCATTGTCCTGTTGAAAAATAAATGATCGTCCAACTAAACGCAAACCGGATGGGATGGCATGTCGCTGCAGGATGCTGTGGTAGCCATGCTGGTTCAGTGTGCCTTCAATTTTGAATAAATCCCCAACAGTGTCACCAGCAAAACACCCCCACACCATCACACCTCCTCCTCCATGCTTCACAGTGGGAACCAGGCATGTGGAATCCATCCGTTCACCTTTTCTGCGTCTCACAAAGACACGGCGGTTGGAACCAAAGATCTCAAATTTGGACTCATCAGACCAAAGCACAGATTTCCACTGGTCTAATGTCCATTCCTTGTGTTTCTTGGCCCAAACAAATCTCTTCTGCTTGTTGCCTCTCCTTAGCAGTGGTTTCCTAGCAGCTATTTGACCATGAAGGCCTGATTGGCGCAGTCTCCTCTTAACAGTTGTTCTAGAGATGGGTCTGCTGCTAGAACTCTGTGTGGCATTCATCTGGTCTCTGATCTGAGCTGCTGTTAACTTGCGATTTCTGAGGCTGGTGACTCGGATGAACTTATCCTCAGAAGCAGAGGTGACTCTTGGTCTTCCTTTCCTGGGTCGGTCCTCATGTGTGCCAGTTTCGTTGTAGCGCTTGATGGTTTTTGCGACTCCACTTGGGGACACATTTAAAGTTTTTGCAATTTTCCGGACTGACTGACCTTCATTTCTTAAAGTAATGATGGCCACTCGTTTTTCTTTAGTTAGCTGATTGGTTCTTGCCATAATATGAATTTTAACAGTTGTCCAATAGGGCTGTCGGCTGTGTATTAACCTGACTTCTGCACAACACAACTGATGGTCCCAACCCCATTGATAAAGCAAGAAATTCCACTAATTAACCCTGATAAGGCACACCTGTGAAGTGGAAACCATTTCAGGTGACTACCTCTTGAAGCTCATGGAGAGAATGCCAAGAGTGTGCAAAGCAGTAATCAGAGCAAAGGGTGGCTATTTTGAAGAAACTAGAATATAAAACATGTTTTCAGTTATTTCACCTTTTTTTGTTAAGTACATAACTCCACATGTGTTCATTCATAGTTTTGATGCCTTCAGTGAGAATCTACAATGTAAATAGTCATGAAAATAAAGAAAACGCATTGAATGAGAAGGTGTGTCCAAACTTTTGGCCTGTACTGTACATAAATGAATGCTTCATCAATACAGTAGAAACAAATACTTCTAATATGTACTTCTTAATCCAACCCAATATTTCAATTTCTGTTGCAGAGTTTTAATTCACTGATAAACACTTTAAACTGTCCTTAAATCTGCTCACAATTACATCACAAGACACATTTACACACTGCTTATGAATGCTGACTGGGTGGGGATGGATTAAAATACCCATACCTGTGTCTTTGTGAGAAATGTCCACTATTTCACAACCATATGGCCTATATATGATTCGAAAGTAATTCTGAGTAATCCCTCAAGCAGCCACCTTGGTGTTCACCTTGTTGAATCAGCAGTCCGATCTTTGTGAGCAATGTGGGAGTGTTCAGTGGTGACTCATCGGACTGCCAAGATAAGATGATAAAAGAAGTGAAAGTGACACAAGGCAAAGCAACGCACATAGGTGCCAAACAACCAGGGCACCAGGTGATCTCTGACCTTGCAGCTGCAAGACTCTTTACCTACTCTGTTTGTAGGAGGAGCTCTCCAGGTGTTTATATTCTTACTTGCATCATATTCTCTGCTGCAGCAAGTTTGCTCATGTGAATCAATAAAGTTTTATCTTGTCAAACCTCGTTGACAAAGGACATGTCTGGACTCAAAATAACCCAGTTGTACAGAAAACTGTGTAAAACCTTTGACCACAGGGTGACACAGACACAGACACAGAGACAGAGACAGAGACAAAATTAGCTTTAAAGAAACACATCACAGACTGAGCTACCATGATCCTTTTAACATGTTATGATTAATGTTTGGGCCGGCTTAGTTTCAGCGCCACAAAAACTACAAAACAATAGAATAAGGCAACCCTCTCAAATCCATCAGTATTTAAGTCTGCTTTAACACAGCCTGCAAATATAGGCACAAGAAACCCAAGCTTTGTGGTGCTTTTTCCTCATTTTTCTTTTTTCATCTTTCAGTCATTTTGTGTTTCTGTGTCTCTTTTTATTTATTTTGTGAATCTTTGTAGTCATTTTGTGTCTTTGTTGTAGTCATTTTGTGTCGTTTTGTGTCTCTTTGTAGTCACTTTGTGTCTTTTCTGTCATTTTGTGTCTCTCTGTAGGCATTTTGTGTCTGTTTTGGTCGTTTTGTGTCTTTGTTGTAGTCATTTTGTGTCTTTTGGTTGTTTTGTGGCTCTTTGTAGTCATTGTGTGTCTTTTTTTGGATGTTTTGTGTCTCTTTGTAGTAATTTTGTGTCTTTTTTGATGTCATTTTGTGTCTTTTGGTTGTTTTGTGTCTCTTTGTAGTAATTTTGTGTCTTTTTAGGTCGTTTTGTAGTCATTCTGTGTCTTTGTTGTAATCATTTTGTGTCTTTTGGTTGTTTTGTGTCTCTTTGTAGTCATTGTGTGTCTTTTTTGGATGTTTTGTGTCTCTTTGTAGTGATTTTGTGTCTTTTTAGGTCATTTTGTGTCTTTTGGTTGTTTTGTGTCTCTTTGTAGTAATTTTGTGTCTTTTTAGGTCGTTTTGTGTCTTTTTTGTAGTCATTCTGTGTCTTTGTTGTAGTCATTTTGTGTCTTCTGGTTGTTTGTGTCTCCTTATAGTCATTTTATATCTTTCTTTTGGATGTTTTGTGCCTCTTTGTAGTCATTTTGTCTTTTTGGTCGTTTTGTACCTCTTTGTAGTCATTTTGTGTTTTCTTTGGTCTTTTGTGTCTCCTTATAGTCATTCTGTGTCTTTTTTTTGGTTGTTTTGTGTCTCTCTGCAGTCATTTTATGTCTTTTTTGGTTGTTTTGTGTCTTTTTTGGTCGTTTTGTGTCTTTTTTGTAGTCATTTTGCGTCTTTGTAATAATTTTGTGTCTTTTTTGGTCATTTTGTGTCTTTCTTGTAGTCATTTTGTTTCTTTTTTGGTCGTTTTGTGTCTCTTTGTATTCATTCTGTCTCCTTGTGTGGTTGTTAGCCCCTTTTTATAGTTATCCTGTATTTCTTTGCAGCTCTTTTGCATCTGTTTGTGTTAATTTTGAGCGTATTCCTGGTCAGTACTTGTTTATTTGAGTGACATTTTCAAGTAAAGGCCAGGGGGGCCCCTAACACGAGCCCCTGGGCCTGTGTACAGTCGGCCAGTTCAGTAATATATCTATGGCCTAAATTAGATCAAGTTTACAATTAGCAAAGTGTGTTACCATCTTTTGATACTTGACATATTTATTTTATATATCAGCTGGTTCCTTAAAAGTATAGAGGTGAGATACCAGCCTGAATCTAACAGCCACATGGACATAAAGCAGTTTATGGCCATCTACTGAATGTAAACCCTAATATTCACTGTTATTTAAGCTCCAGCAGCTTGCTGTTTTACATTAGATGAGAGGGTTGGTGAGAGTGTTAAGTCTGGCACACCAAAAGCAATAAAAGTAGCTAGAAGCTGCAGGGGCTGCTGAGCTGGGTGTGATTTCTCTGTGGGTTCTGCAGCTTCCCACCCTTCCACATACACTGAGTCATTTGATTCAGTGTTTATGGCAGAGATAATGCCTAATGAAGCGTTAGGCTTCTCATGTAGGCTAGGCTTCACATTTGATTGTGATGATAATACCTGTGAAGTACATTTGGGAACTAACACAAACAAAACCTCTCATGATGAGAAGAGCAACGTTTTGTAGTTGCTAATATTCTCATAAATATGTATAAATAAATACCACATTTCCTATATTTAGCTTTATAGAGTATTATAGTTTTAATTTGAAGAATAACACTCCGCCAATCTAGTATGTTAGGCTGCAATACACCTTATTCACCACAGGGTCGCAGACGTGAGACCACGACTACAAATAAGGACTACAACTCCCGGCATCCGGCTGAGTTTACGGAAGTGGGAGCCGTTACCAGAGGATAGCTCGTTTTTATATTTACCGAACACACATCAGGGCGGCATCACAGGTTACATTGTAGGAAACGATATCACCCATATCGGTGTACGCAGGTGCCTCAAAACAAACGCACCATGGTTGGAACTCGATGACCGTTATTACGTGCCAGATATGATGGTTGTTGTGGTAGCTGTGTACATAGCCTAGCATGTTGCTACAGTAATATTACCTGATTTAACTTCAGTTTCACATCAATGAAACCGTTAGACTCAGACGAGGAGGACGCGGAGCAGTTGGGTGTTTACCAAAAGGAACTGAGACGTAAGTTAAATGTTACACTGAATGCTACATATGCTAACAGCTAACGACAGAGGCGTTAAGCTAAGTGGTTAATTAACGTAGCATGCGTTAATAACTTACAGGTGGGTTACCGTGTTACAGGCGGGTGTGTTCAAAGGTTTGCAGACTATCTGAGTTACAGACGTACAGTCATGTCACACACCAGCACCAAAGCACAGGACCATTAAAGTCGTATCACTGCCACCTGTTGCTGACTCCCAGTCCTACTGACGAACAAGCACCCTGGAGGAAATGAATTTGTTTGGCTATATTTCTATAAAATAATAAACATATCAGTAAACTAATACTGCTTATTAATTAATTACAGATTTACAGCACAATTGCCAGAACAGCAAGGGGTAACATTACGTTGACTGGATGGCTAATTGTACGGAAGCGCATTGCATTCAATGAATACATAAAAAAAAGGCACTTTATCTCATAATTACGAGATCTCGTAAATATGAGATAGTATCTTGTAAATATGAGATAGTATCTTGTAAATATGAAATAGAATCTTGTAATTATGAGATAGTATCTTGTAATTATAAGATGGTATCTCGTAATTATGATATAGTATCTTGTAAATATGAGATAGTATATTGTAATTATGAGATGGTATCTTGTAATTATGATATAGTATCTTGTAAATATGAGATAGTATCTTGTAAACACGAGATAGTTTATTGTAATTATGAGATGGTATCTTGTAATTATGGTATAGTATCTTGTAATTATGAGGTAGTATTTTGTAAATATGAGATATCTTGTAATTATAAGGTGGTATTTCGTAATTATGATATAGTATCTTGTAAATATGAGATTGTATCTTGTAAATATGATATAGTATCTTGTAAATATGAGATAGTATCTTATAATTATAAGATGGTATCTCGTAATTATGAGATAGTATCTTGTAAATATGAGATAGTATCTTGTAAATATGAGATAGTATATTGTAATTATGAGATGGTATCTTGTAATTATGATATAGTATCTTGTAATTATGAGATAATCTTGTAATTATAAGGTGGTATCTCGTAATTATGATATAGTATCTTGTAAATATGAGATAGTATCTTGTAATTACAAGATGGTATCTCGTAATTATGATATAGTATCTTGTAAATATGAGATAGTATCTTGTAATTATAAGATGGTATCTTGTAATTATGAGATAGTATCTTGTAAATATGACATAGTATTTTGTAATTATGAGATGGTATCTTGTAATTACAAGATAAGAGCTTGATATTATTTCGTAATTATGAGATAGTATCTCGAAATTATGAGATAGTATCTTGTAAATATGACATAGTATTTTGTAATTATGAGATGGTATCTTGTAATTACGAGATGAGAGCCTGATTTTATTTCGTAATTATGAGATAGTATCTTGTAAATATGAGATAGTATCTCGTAATTACAAGATAAGAGCCTGATGTTATCTCATAATTATGAGATACTATCTTGTAATTATGAGATATTATCTTGTAATTATGAGATAAGAGCCTGATGTTATCTCGTAATTATGACATAGTATCTCATAATTATGACATAGTATCTTGTAATTGTGATTGTAATTGAGGGGCGGCAGTAGCTCAGTCCATAGGGACTTGGGTTGGGAACCGGAGGGTCGCCTGTTCAAGTCCCCGTCCGGACCAAAAATATGGAGCGTGGACTGGTAGATGGAAAGGTGCCAGTTCACCTCCTGGGAACTGCCGAGGTGCCCCTGAGCAAGGCACCGAAACCCCCAACAGCTCAGAGCGCCAGTCATGGGCAGCCCACTCTGACATCTCTCCACTTAGTGCATGTATAGGTCCAGTTTGTGCATGTGTGTAATTGACAATAGAGTGAAAAATTGAATTTCCCCTCAGGGATTAATAAAGTATATAAAATTTAAAAAAAAAAAAAAATTAGTATCTTATAATTATGAGATAGTATCTTGTAATTATGAGATCAGAGCCTGATGTTATCTCGTAATTATGAGATAGTATCTTGTGATTATGAGATAGTATCTTGTAATTATGAGATACTATCTCGTAATTATGAGATCCCCAATCAACGTAATGTTACACTTTGCTGTTCTGACAGTTGTACTGTAAATCTGTCATTAATTCATAAACAATGTTAGCTTACTGATATGTTTGTTTTATAGAAATAAGATCTCATAATTACGAGATAATGTGTCGATTTTTATATATATATTCAGTGAAAGCAATGCGCCTCCGTAGAATGTCGCATTTTTTAATATATGGCCCAAACTAGAGAACTGGCATTGACTTTTTTTGTTCACATCAAACATCTGGACTTTTAATTTTAGGTAAAGCAAATGTGTTACTTAACTTTCACGATAGCTCTGTTTAACAAAAAATTTTTAAAAAAAAGTGTCCCATGACAATGTGACAGCATGCACAGTACCAGCTATATCATGCAGCCATTAATGAACTATAAGTTTAATTCTGATGCAAAAATGTACAATTTCACCAATTAAGTCTTTAGTTAGTTGGGTATGAAGAAAGGTTTTCACACATCCAAGTGTCTCAGATGTAGGAGCGATGGAAAATATCACTTGAGTCTTTGAACAGAAATCCTGCACACTGCTCTTCCTCAAGTGTTTAACGCTCTTTACAAAGGTCCAGGAGGACGGAAACGTTAGTGTTACTAATAAATTGTGAAGCTGAGCCAGAGCAGTGTGCAGGATTTTCTGTTCAAAGTTTATTGTGTATGGAAAAGTTACTATAATGCATCCCAGTGATTTCACCTCTTGTTCTCACACTAATTTGAGTGATGGGCAAGTGTTTCAATTCACAGACCCCAACTAAAACATGATGGGGCACTGAAAGAATATACTTCAGGAGACTGGTGTCAGCGTGTGCATATTGGTTTTCAGAGCGGGCCAACCAGAGCATACAGCAGCTGAGCAGTGCACTGGAGCATCTGAGCTCTGATGGAGAAGAGGTGGAGGAGCCCAAAGGCAGCGATGGCAGCCTCTTCACTGCCATGGCTGAAGAGGACAAGGCTGCATGGAGCCAAAAGACACAGAGTGAAGCAGGTGACTCAGTGATTAGGTGTGGGGCGACTGTCTGACAAAGAGATTAGAGTGCACCACCTGGAGATTCCCTTGCTCATAATCTTGTTGACAGACAATACACAAAGTTATAATGAAATGCTTCTTGTGTGTGTTTGTGCATGCGTGTGTCTGTGTCTTTTGGCATTGTAGTTAATCAGCTGAAGAGTCTTCTATTGAAGCAGTGCAGAGACATTCCCACTCCGCTCTCTCCTTCAAAGAAACAGTCTCCAGCCAAGGTAGAGTGTGCAGCCTTGACTGGCTAAATGTTTAAATGCCTTAGAGGTGTGGTAAATCATTAGGCTTTTTTATTATAGTAATATTAAGCTTGCCATTCTGCTGTGTTATACCTCATTCTTGTCTTCCCTCTGTTAGAGAGAACAGCAGGAGGGAAGACCCAGTTTACCAGCTTATCAGGATTTGGTCCCAATGATTCACAACCAGTCAGAGTACATTCAACACCTGGAGGCTGAGGTCAAATTTTGCAAGGTATGTGCACAAATGTGTAGGTGGTCATAGTTGCAGTCTTTGTTACTGTCAGGCAGATTTGGATATGTTTCTGTGTGTGTGTGACTTCAGGAGGAGCTGCAGGGGATGAAACAGCGAGTCAGAGTGGTGGTGGAGGAAAATGAGAAGTTGTATTCAGAGCTCAAATCCAAAGCTGTGGATGAAACTCTGAGAGAGTACACGATCCAAAACTCCATGGTAACGTGTGTGTGTGAAAATCGTGTATAATTTTTTTGCTTGTGGTATTATGTGAGATATATATGCATTCTTACAACATTTACGGGAACATATACATCATAATATTTACAAGTACAGTAAGGATAAAATAACATAGTATTTTTTAAAGTTACAGACATCTATTGCCTCTTTTCTTGTACATTACAGTACTTTGCACAATTTCAGCGTAGTTGTAGATATCAGAGCTATCTTTAGAAAAGGTTACATCCGATTAGAGGAAATTTAAATTACACTATATAATAGTAGTGTTAACAGACTTAAGCTCGGGATGACATTAGCATTTTTTGCGCGTGTCATCATCTGTCCTGCTGTGTTCTTTAGGTGAATGAGACTATGGCAGCCGACAGCCACAGCATGCTGCAGAGAGCCAAACACACCACATGGAAACATGAGCTGGTAGGCATGATGGATCTGTTTTCTCCTCTTTTCCAGTTATATTTTAGTTCTTTTTCTCAGTCTGTAACCCACATGGTTCTCATCTGTCATGACATTTTACAGTATCATGTGTTGTGAATTTGAGACAAGAAAAGTTTGACTAATTCTCTGGAGACGTGAAAATATCAAATACTTGTGCACATGTGTTACACAAGTGTTTAAACATACCATTGTTATGGAAAACTGTGGCAAAATCATAATCTCATTGGACAGGCTGACGTTTGTGTTCATGTTTGTGTTCATCAGGAACAACTGAAAGGGATCTACCAGGCTCAGATTGAAAGCTTGGAGGCTCAGGTCATCTCCCTCAGGTCAGTATGCTCTTTTAATGTTCAAGCATTAAAAGAGCAATACTCATCTCCTTTTCCGTTCCCTTTTCTCTGTCTGTTTCTCCATATTTCACATTTTGCCTCCATCTTCAGGAAGGATCTGTCAGTCAGTCAGAAGGAGTGTGAGGAGGTGAAGGTCCGTCTGAGACACCGGGAGAAGCTGGCTGCAGATGCACTGAAGGCTAATGGAGCTCCCCGTGTGGCAGGATTGTGTCTGAAGTGTGCACAGCACGAAGCTGTGTTGGCTGGGACTCACACTAATCTGCACGTCCAGGCTATTGACAGACTCACAAAGTCAGTGTACAATACATTGCTCCTCATATTCTAGTTTTAGGTATTTGATTATTCATGTATACATTATCGTGTCTGGCATCATGCCTGCAACAGATTTTATGAACAGCTGTTTCAGTAACTTATTTCATGTGCATAGCAAAAAAGGAAGCAGTTTTGGTCGTCATGCATTTTCTTGTCTGTCAATCTTTCAGGGAGCGTGATGAGTTACTGGGGGCTCTACGCACTGTGCGGGCTAGTCAGCAGGAGGCGCAGCAGAGGGAGTGGTCCGCCTGTCTCCAGGTCAAACAGGCTGTAGAAATGGCGGAAGAAGCAAACCTGTACAAAGCTCGGGTCAGAGAAACATATACACACATTTTCCAGCTGTGTTGGCTCAGACAGTATTTCTGATTTGTAATGCTCTGTCACACAGCGAGTTGTCCTCTAAAACTGTGTTTCCTCTCCCTACTGTGGCTGCGTACCTCTGGCAAACCTGTTTGTATGTGTGCAGGTGGAGGTGCAGTGTGAGCAGCTGTCCAGGGAGCTGGCTCGACAGAGGGAACAACTGGAACGAGAAGCACAGGCCTTGCAAGAGAGACTGGCTGAGGCCAGAGAGGAGGGCCGGGCTGAGGCTCGCAAACATAGAGAGGATCTGGCACAAACAGTAATTCTTACTTATTCACTGATGTTTGTGTGTAGATGAGTGTTGTACATATGTGTAGTATTAATTCACAGTTCTGGATGCTTTGAAATAATGAACTGTACTTGAACTGAGAAATGCCAATGGAAAAACTGTGTGTGTGTATCAGGTGTCCAGCCTTTCTCAGAGTGTTGCTGAGTTGGAGGGGCAGCTAGACAGAGCTCACAGAGACAAGAGCTCACTGACCAATCAGCTGGAAGATACTCATCGCAAACTTACCAGTCAGGAACAAGACAATACCAAGGTACAGTGTGTGTGCAAACAAACCTTAAAGGTCCAGTGTTTAGGATTGAGGGTGGGAAAGTGGCGGAAATGGAATTCCAAATTCATATCTGTGTTTTCTTTAGTGCATAATCACAAGAAACTAAAAAGTGTTGTGTTTTCATTATGTTAGAATGAGCCGTTTATATCTACATATGGAGCTGCTCCAATGGAGACATGTTGTTTCTACAGAAGCCCAGACAGGGCTATTTGTGTCATCACGTTAGTCACTGGAGTTCTCTGCACGGCTGGCACACGGGAGAAGTCTCAGTTAGTTGCAGTATGCGACCTCAGTGCTAGATGCCATTAAATCCTCCACACTAGACCTTAAAGTCAGCATGTTTGCTTTGTTACGTATCATCGGTGCTTAGATTTTTGCTGCTAGACCAGCACCTATAAAAGATGGCTCTAGCTTTGAAGGATCAGAGGTAAAGAACTCTCAGCTGTCGTCTGTACCTGTAATGTTTTTATACATCCACAGGGTGGCAGCAGAGGTTCATCAATTTCACTATATTTCCTGTTGTTGAGAGGTTGTTTAATTCAACATGAGTGCGTAAATAAGTGTAAGAGAAGATAAATAACCAAGCTTCATTTTAAGATGTTTAGTTCAGGTTTTAATAATGCTCTAATGTAAAATTCTGGGTGTATATATATATATGTATACGCATGCAAATGGTAGCAAAGCAGTTACAAAGTTGCCTAGGAGACGGCATGTTTTGCTTTAACCTGGAAGACTCGGGCCAAGTGTTGCATGTCAGCAAATATTCACCCTGCTGCAGTGTCTTGAAGACACCAAGTCTGTGATATCTCTAGTTTCTGTTCTGTAGATAACAAATTTTCAGTGTCACATTTTTTACATCATTACAATTGAGCATGATTGGTAATATGAATATATATTATTAGTAGTAAATGATGGTTGTAAAGGTCGTAGTAGCACAAAGTGTCGTAATTTAAATCAAAAAGAGTAGTTAACATGTTAACAGTGGAATGTGGTTTTATTCACTTATGTGGGTGCTTTCAAACAGGGGACTAAATTAAACTCTTTGCCAATTCAGTATCATAACAGAAGTGTATTTAGACCTCTGAGAAGAAAACTCATTGCGTGGCAGGGTCCAATGATTCAACTGAAGCACCTTCCTAGATAAAAAGAGGGTAACATGATGACAACAAAATCAAAAATTGGCAAATGCTAAAAGAATGGACAGGAAGTAATATTTGTTAACCAAAGGCCTGGCTGTTTTTAACCAGTGTGTGTCATTTCTAGGTGTGCGTGGATCTGCGATATCAGCTCAGCCAGGCCGGGCTGAAGAAAGAGGAGGCAGAGAGAGAGCTCCGAGAGCTCCACACCAAGACCAGCAGACAGATGGAAAAGGCTGCACAGGTACGTCTGCACGGAGCCCACCGATTAGTTTAGATATATTTGATTGACTAGATTATTTAAGTCAGAATATGATCAGTTAGTTTAGTTGATAATTTAGTAAGCAGTCAACATCTTCAGCAGAAGGTGTACTGATGAGTAAGAAGCAAAATCAAGAAAAATATTTATTTCCAAACATCTAAATTTATCACAAATCCTTAATACGTGCATCAGTTATCCAGACAGGCTGGTAAAAATGAATACATGCTGTGTAAGAGAAGTCCTGGTTAAACTTTTGGATGCCACATGGCTCGATAAATAGAATCCCTCATAGAAATAATAAATTGCTGCAACATTTCAAAATACAGTTTCACCATTTGGGATCAAACTGAATTTAAGGTTAAGGCTTTGCTCAGCCTTAAATGTTTTGTTTGTCTGAGGACATAAGGTGGGTTGTTGTGCAAGCTTTCCTCACCTCCTTCCTTCCTTCTCTCCTTCCATCTCTGCGGGACAGGAAGTGGAAAGGCTGAGCTCAGAGCTGGTTGGCTGTCGGCAGCATCTGGAGGCGGTCCAAAAGGACGGGAGCCAATGGCAGGCCGAAGCCCTGAGCCTAGCAGAACAGCTGGCAAATGCCCAGCGCCAACTGCACCTCACCAGGTAGTACCTAATCCTATTATACATGCCACCACACTCACACACACACATGCACATACACACAGCACTCCCCTCTGCCCAGCTCCTGCCCAGCTCAGCCCAGTCCAGTCCAGTTCAGACCAGCACACCAACTGTACCGCACCAGGTAACAGCTAATCCTATTATACAAGCCACACACACATAAACACACATACGCGCCGCTGTGCCATGGTCCCGGTACCAACTGGACCTCACCAGGTCACCTCTAATCCTGTTAAGCATGCCACAACATAATGCAACACACACACTCAACACACACACACAACACACACAAACACACTGCCCACTCTGTGCCACCAGGCCAGTGCCCAGCCCAGCAACAGCTCCAGCAGAGCCAAAATGGCGCCTGAGCCTTTCTTCTGTCCCTGGCGCACACACACACGCACACACACATACACACACACAGAGAAAAGTGCGGCTGATGGTCACTGGACAGCCTGGCCTCAGTGCCACCTGCCAGTGCCCTGCACCCGTTCTCACGACGGGCGCTACCGGCTCCCCTCCCTCCTCCCTCCATCTTTTCTCTTTCTAGCTATTTCTGCATCTTTCTATTCCAGTTTTTTGGTGGTTTCCTGTCTCACTTCCTCTGTTATATGTTAATCCTCCCACCCGTTCATACACCTATCTATCTTTTCTACCTGCAGCCCGTTTAGTCTTCATGTTCCTAGAGGTCATCCTTTGCCATCCTTTATACTTTAAATAGCTCTATTTGTTTTTCCTCTATCATCTTCTATTCCTTTTTCCGTTTTTCTTCCATCCTCTGCTGTCCTCCTACATTCCTCCTTTCCTTCCCTCTGTCCCTCCTGTCATCCGCTGGCTGCTGTTCCCTTCCACACCATCCACTGCCAGGGCCATGCCAGCCCATGCCAGCCGCCCAGGGCACTCTCTCACCCCCGCTGCCCACAGCCGAGGTGTCTGAGATGGGCACAGATGTGGCGGTGGTGCCCTGTGGTGCTGGAGGCTGCGGGGTGCAAGTTTGTGTAATCTTTGAATGTGTTTGTGTGTGTGTATTTGTGTTTATGTGTCTGTCAGCTCAGTGGTATGTGTGTGCGTGTGTGTGTGTTTGTCCACCGCAGCTCCCGGCTTGATCTGTGTTTAAGTGTGTTTGTCTGTCAGCTGGCCAGCGCTAACACTCTGGCCGCATGGAGGGCTGTCATGTGTTTAAGGGATGAGGCAAGAAGCGTGTGTGTGTGTGTGTGTGTGTGTGTTTGTGTGTGTATTTTGCAGCCAGCTGTGGAGAATGACATGCATATTGATGTGGCAACATGATGACTTTGACCTGTACTAGAGGAGCCACTGGACTAAACCATTTTACTGCCATGTGTGCGGGTGTATGTGCATGAGAGAGTTTATAGTTTTATCTATCCGCAGATGCATACTAGATGTTTGACAGCTGTTGACTTGGCTGAGCATGTAGCCATTCAAATTCAATTTCGGTCATTAGCAGTGAAAGCCACTTCTGATACTGATTTAATATGAATATTCCTTTTCCACCAGTAGTGCATGAGATGCGTTAACTTTCAGTGCCACACAATAACACTTGAAGTCATGTTTAGAGCTAAAGCTTTTAAAAAGCAGCATTGGGCACAATTATAGCAGACATAAACTCTATTTATCTTCACAGTGATAAATAAATAAACATGTAAATAGTTAGATAGCATGTGCAGTACATGAACAGCTGATAAGAACCTGCATGTCTGTGTGAGAGCCTGAAATATTGTCAGAAGAATCTGCAGACATTTTGTAAGGAGTTAGTTTTGTACTCAGCATTAGGAACCCATGATGAATCAGTTCTTTAAAGAGCAACTTGAAGGTTATTCATTTATTTTTTTTACTAAATTTATACTGAATCTTTCCTGAAAATGACCATTTGAAAGGTTAATGCAGGATTTTATGTTTTACAAGACATAAGGGCTGAAATTGAGAGCAAGAAGTGACCATTCTCAGCTATACTTAAAAAAGGCCCTTTTTTCAACATCATACATCAAATGCATCACATCATGTAACGGAAAGAGGTGTTGTTCTTGACAGTCAGTGGTAGGCGGTAGTGGTATGGTATGTTATCGTACTCTGTTATGACCTAAATTACAAAACAACACAAATTAAATTTACACCTTCAGCAGCAGCTGGACAGCTGTCGGAATACAAATATTTTGTTACAGTAATATGCTGGCCTTTAAATGAAGGACTTTTCAAGCAATTTCTTTGTCACAGACAAATTTCCAATGTTTGAATAAACTGTGAGAGTTTTACCTCAAGTAGTGCACGCTCTGTGATGTCGAGCTTGGTGTAAGGTTGCCGTGAAACTCACTCCAAGCTGTCTTAAGTCAGCCTTTTTCCCATGTGGACATCCAGATGAAATCAGTGATGATGTTTGATATTATCACAAGTTTTTTTTTGTCTTGGATCATGCGAATAGTGAAGTTCAATAATGTGAACATTGTCAGCAACCAATAAGTGAGTTACAGTATGTTCAGCACCAAACAGGAAGCAGCAAACTGGGTAGTCTGTAAACATGGTGTGGAATCCAGGGTGAAGCAAGAATGTGAACAAGTCTTGATTCTCTTGGACTGTGGAGGAGAGGAGGAAAAACTGGTGGAGTTGTAAAGTGAACGATTAATTCCGAGTGTGTCTAATCAAAACAAAAAGTTTTTGAAATGGTTTCCTTCTCATTCCAATGGTCTCCTTTCACTAAAACAGGGCCACCAACCAACATAGGCTGGTAGAGAGATGAGGTGAAGAAATCCAAAATGTAAAGTTTGCGCGCAGATATAGATGCCAAATTGACAAGAATACTGTCGACACATGACGCCTTTTATCTTGTATTTCTAGAGTTATGTGTTTTTGTGAACACGTAACAAATTGTCAATATATCGCCACTTAAATGTGTGGTATAATATTTTGCATCAGGGAGCAGAATGGGAAATAACCTAGTTGTAGCCTCGGATATAGCGACCTCGCAAGATCCCCAGTCCTTTGAAAATATTATAGTAATATCACAGTTATAGTGTGTGACTAAAAATTTAGATTGTCTTTAGATGTGAGATGGTGTCGGACTTTAGTCTTTCAGAAGTTTTAGAAAAGTCTTGTAGTGTATGGTAAGCATTAGTCGACAACAAAAGTGAGTTAACACATTTGACAAACTGACTAATGTCATAAATGTTACCTCTATACTCTACTATAGTATTTCTGTAATATTGAACATTCACACATTAACACCTGCCGTTGTCGAGAAGGGCGAGATGTGATAAGTGATAGGAATAACCACATGCATTTGTTCAAGCAGTGACAAACAGATTGAGGGAGAAGCTCAGACCTTGCTTACCTTCTCAGCTGCACACCTGGCCAATGGCGGCATGAAGCAGGCACGAGTGGAAGTCTCAGAAAGTTACAGGAATTGTTGGACGCAGCTTCCCAATTTAGACGCAAGGTGTGGGCGGTGAGGGATTTAGACGATGTTCGACCATCTGACAAGCTCTTTGGCTGAAGCATACTGACGCCCTCAGATACATAAAATACATACAAATTACTTATTTAGCTTCGGAGCTGCTATGGGTCATCTCTGTGTCACTTTTGATGTTGTGCTCATCATGACATGTTGCTTAGCATTGTGAATACTAAATCAGGAACTCTGAAGCAAAAGGTCTACCGAGGACATGCTGAGGATTTTGGCTTCTATTCTCATCACTCACAGTTCAGCTGTCCAGCAGGCTGGCTTTCCCAAACTTGGTGTTTTCTTAGAAACCCATAAAGTCTTTCCATACAGCCATTGATCCATCCATGTTTGTTGATGTAACATCACAGTTTTTAAAGATGGGGTTATAATGTATCTTTGGGATACGTGCAGATGAAGGATGGCATCTAACAAAAGAGGAAAACTGGACATTATTGGAGCTGCATAGAAAGCAAGCATCAAACACAGACATGCACACACACATACAACCACATGTCACATACACACCTGCAGAGATTTGGTCACAGCCTTTGTCTGTCCTCAGGACGTGTTTTTTCCCTTTATAGTTTCTCTCTTTTTTCCTCACTTCTCATGTTCTCTATTGCCTTTTTTCTCATGCTGTTCCAAACTAAACAAATAAACCTCAAGCGATTGTCTCCCTCCCCTCCCTCCCCCTACCTCTGTCCCTTTCTCTCTCTTTCTGTCTGCCTATAGGCCTTCTGGGGTTATGCAGAACTACATGTAGTTCATTCGTAGTCATGCCTCTGTTTGCCCTCTCTTGTTGTTCACGACTGAGTCTTTGTAGCTGTGGTGGGCTGGTTTGTGTAGCCGTGTTTGTGTGTGTTGTTACTAGAGAGTAAGAGTGTGAGATTCACAGTAGCGAGGCTGGAAGGCATTTGTATGACCAGCCTTGGAAGGCAGCTCTTTGATTCTCTCTCTGCAACTTGCTCGCTCCCCTCTTTCATTCTGTCCTCCTCTCGTGGCCCAAATGATCACAGCCCGTCTTCAAACAGGGGACATGAAGCACAGACAGCCTCTGTTTGATTTCTGATAGCCCTACCTTCCTTTCTGATAAACACAAACGTATACACACGCACACACACACACAGACACATATTTGTTTGTACAACTGCATGCCTGCAAATGTGCACACTGATACGCACATCAGTCGAATCCACATGCCTGTACACACAGACTCTCACACACACAGATGCATGCACGCATCCGGGGGTCCCATGGCGGCTGGTGCGCTGTGCCGCGCTCCAGGATTGGATCATCAGCCAGCTGTGAGTTGGACAGCCCAGGATCTGTCCTAATCCTCGCCACTCTGTTCACATCGCCTCACACACACACACAAACACACTCCAGTCCCAGCCCCAGCCCAGCAGAGGGCTTTACTAAGTTTGTTTTGTTTGTTTGCTCCTGTCTTTCTTCACTTTCTTTCTTTTCTTCTTTCGTTGTCTCCATCCGGCCCCATCTCTCCCTGTGTTGTGATCACAGATCCCAAAGG